TTTGCACTCTCCTCTTTCATCCTCATCAAGAGGCTCTTTAGTTCTTCTTCACTTTCTGCCACTGTTGGACCTGGCACTCCACAAAGGTGGCAAAAGTCACAGTTTACACTGGGATAACCCTTTCAGTTTGTTGTAGCCAAAATGTCACTTAAAAAAAACACACCTTGTGACAACTTCAAAACTAAACAGTAGTTTGAATAGTAGTTACAACTGTCTTTCCCATATTGAGTGTTGAGACAGCACTTGTATACTACAAACTGCCAAGAGAAATCAGCAAAATCATAAACTGAAGAATTCAGTGAGCCTTATGCCACCATCCATAATATAGGAGGTAGCCTGCTGCATCTCCTGATGATTGACTATTCTGGTCTTTCCCACTTTGAATCCTCTCTGCTGCAGGCAGCTTTCTGCACAACCTTTGCACCTGTTGCATGACTTAGAGAATGATTTTTTTCACAGTAGAGTCTATTACATTTCTCTGTGAGTTCCTGCCCCGTGTTCACCTCTTTCCAACCAAGTTCTGCTCAGTGCAAGTAATTTTCCCCTTCTCTGTTTGGAAAAGGGTTGTATCATTCAATTAGACCAGCAGATTCCCTGCTCTTTCACAATTGACTGCTTGCTGTATTTCTGTTTGATTCACTATAGAATTGCCACTCAGGAGAACCAGTTCATGAGTTTCAGTTCCTCTGGGACTAGATAATTGTCAGTCTTATGAGATAGACCAGACAGGAAACACAACCAGATGAGCTAATTCTACTTTATTGTAAGGTTACGTTAACAGAATCTTGCAAATCTGAAAGTACATCTCTCCCCCACCCCCTGCCTGTCTCCTTTACAGCCCAAGAAACTAGGGAGAGTCTCTTCTGAGCCTCTTGCCCGACCCACATTTCTGCTGTGGGCTAAGCTGCCTTTTATCTGACCGTTCCCTTGGCTGCATCTCATTGCCCTGTCTCCCAAGGTCATTCCCATGTACCATTACAATAATCCTGATTCTTTGATATTCAAAAAGTAAACTAATAGAGGCGAATATGTGTAGTTCAGGGTTGAACTGTGGAGTCCTCGGGGATCTCTGAGCTTGGTTCTTTTCTTGCAAATGTTTCATTACCCAGCTGGGTAACATCTTTAGCGCTGAGTTAAGTCTGTTGTTTTAGCCTACAGAGACTGAAATTCTGATCCCTTACTCAACCATGAAAATTACTGATTGATTTAGAGTTCTCAGTCTCTCACCCTTTCTTTACACAAGTACATACCCAAATATGCTTTGTGGTTTATTATTGATTGTTCCCCACATGTGTTGTCATTTTTGTATAGAAGAGTCTGTAGCTTAGTAGGAAAACATGTTTCCAGTTTAATCCCTGGTGTGGCCAGGGGTGGTTGGGAAAGTTCCAGCTAGAAACCTTAGAGAAGGATAAACTGCAACTCCCATCAACCTTAGTCAGCATGATCAACAGTAAAGCATGATGGGAGTTGCAGTCCATCAGCATCTGGTGGGCCTTACATTGCCTGCCCTTGTCTTATGTTTCTAGTCAGGTTAGATAGAGCTGAGCCAGACAGATCAATGCTTTGACTCTTAAGACAGCTTCTTATCTTCTTAGCTGTTTATTTATTTGTCCCAAAGATTGGCATATTAGAGAACTGTTGGCCTTTTCTTGATATAGGTGAATGCACCGATAAATGTGAAGAGCTCCTGTGCTGGACTGTGCAAAAGGGTGCTGGCGCGCCAACGGGCGACAGATCTCCAAGAACAAGCCAATGCACTCCTGATGAAAGACAAACAGATCAATGCTCTACAGAGGGAATGCCAAGAACTTCAAGCTAAAATCATGGGTGGAAAGGTGAATGTTTACCACTGAGTACACTCAGGCTGATGTTGTCCAGATGTGGTAAACCTCCACCCATTGTGAGTGAGCACTAGGATTTGGATCCAGGCCCATCTGGACCAGGATTATCAACTTTTTCTGTCTCTGCTTCTACACTTCCAAGTGTGTATAGTACAGAAAAGAAGCAAATGGGTCTTTTCTTGTCTCTTTATCATCATGCTCGGAAAAGCCTCATGGTTTTTGTTACTGTAACCAGAAATCCTTCTTCTGTTAGGGCACTGGCTGAGTATCTCTGATATCACAGAATTTCCATCAATAGTCTAAGTGTTCAGGAAGGCATCTGGACCAGGATTATCAACTTTTTCTGTCTCTGCTTCTACACTTCCAAGTGTGTATAGTACAGAAAAGAAGCAAATGGGTCTTTTCTTGTCTCTTTATCATCATGCTCGGAAAAGCCTCATGGTTTTTGTTACTGTAACCAGAAATCCTTCTTCTGTTAGGGCACTGGCTGAGTATCTCTGATATCACAGAATTTCCATCAATAGTCTAAGTGTTCAGGAAGGCATTTTTTTTCAGATGCTAAATACTGGTACATCATTTTCTGTGGAAAGTGAACATTTAGTTTGGGCAAAAGCTCACACAGAATTATGGGATAAAGGAAAATATTCACTGCCAGTAGGCAGTGTAGTTGTGAAAGGGGAGCTAGGTAGGAAGAGCAATTAAGTACCAGAATGGATAATGGGTATAGCAAAGGTCCATAAGCCAGACAAAAGATTGGGAAGCAAGGAATTGGAAGGATGACTGGAAGAAGCACACAGTTGAAATGTAAAAGGTGGGAAAAATCTTACCAAGGATTAAAGCAGGTGGGACTTCAAGCTTGGAGGTGAAGGAGAGGACATAGGAATCTAAGAGGTAAGAAGATCAAAGAGGCAGAGTGGGGCCCAGATCACTGGTTGGTTTGAATGAACCAGCGTAACCTTATGCTGCAGGTCTCTCATGTCTCCTAATTTTTTCTTTCCAGACTGCTAGGATGTTATGAATTGTGAAGTGCTTGAAATCTGAAGTATACCTTTTCTTTCACTATTAATATTATTAGAAACACTGTGTTTTATCAGTTAAATAACTCAGACTTCCCCAGCCTGCTGCCCTTCAGAGGTATTGGGCTTCAACTCTCATAATCCCCAGCCAGCACAGTTAAAACGAGTTGAAGTTCTGGACGGTAACAGGTTGGGGAAACCTGGATTATATTTATCACTGAAAAAGCATTTTTGGTCAATAACAGAGGTTCACCAATGTATATATTTTCTTTTTAAAAGCTTTTGTTCAAGTGCAGCCAACAAGTGTTATCTGAGAAGAGGCACTCTCTCCTCTATGTGAGAGGACAAAGAATCTCTCTTCTAAGATGTTGCTTGTAGGTACAATGGCATAGACATTTACCATCTAAGAGGAAACAGAACTGTAGTTGGTCATTTGCTCCGTAATATTTTTCTCATATGCAAATATAAGAGTTTTCTCTAGTTAATAAGCCACCTAAGATTTATTTAATCTGGTAAGTGACAATTTCTGTTTTTCTAGGAAGGTCCTCCTTGTCTGCCTCTTCTAGATTTCCACCATTTACTCCGAGAATCTCAGAAGGAGGTGCTACGGCTACAGAGACAGATTGCTTTGAAGAATTTCAAGGCAGCCCTGGAGCCCTGTGCTCAGGGATCAGGAGACACTTCTGTGGCTTTTGCAATGGACTTGGGGCTCACCACATCATCCAGGGCCATCTGCTCAAATGGTTTTTCTCCTACAATGGTATCACAGCCATGGGAGGAACTGTGCATAGCAGTGGAGGAGACCAACCAGGTAAATTCTTTAAACTCCTTCCAGTTTATTATTATGTGTCTTGTCTACCTTCTAATGGAATTATCCACATGCTGGACAATCTGGAACAAAATCCACCATTCTTAGAATATCGGGCCAAAACCAGATTCCTGATTCCATCTTTGCTACCTAACATGGATACAGGGTTTGCTGTTTTACTATTCCATTGGTCCACTGCAATTCTAAGATGGCAAAGATATTCAGCTGGAAGTGGGGCATATTTGGGAAAAGAATTGCAGGAGGGATGACAATTAAACATGTCATTCCCTTATGCAATGTTCTGTATTTCCTGGTTTGTATCTAGTCCTTGTTTCACCCATTGTGAAAGCAAAGAAAAAGAGCCAAGTGAAGCTTAAAAGCATTGCCATAAAACATTTTATTTATTTGTTCGTTTATTTAAAAGATTTGATCCCGCTGTTTAGCTAAAAGACTTCCAGTGTGGCTTACATATATTAGCAAGAAGACTCTAAAAAACATGACGTATACATTCTGCACCCACAGAACTTGCCTGACCAGCCACAGAATTATCCCATTTTTCTGGATGTTCACAATACAGTTCCTCATTAGCAAATCTAGTGAGCTGGGTTCACACAACCCAGTTATGGGCCATTTAAAAAAAAAACCCTAATACCAACACAAAGCTTAGTTTCTTGTACAAATGTAGCTGCTAGGCTTTTATCTGATTGGGTTAAATATGCTGAGTGAACACAGACCAAAAAAAAGAGTAAGGGAAAAAAGAGACATAAGCCAAGCAGAGGCACAGTTCTTGAAATGAGAATTGTTATCATGCGTACTTGGAATGAAAAGAGATCAGGTAACATGATGGAATGCCCACCAGGTAGGTGATGGTTTGAGAGCCAAAACTTCCTTGCAGTTCCCAACAAGGATGGAGAGCTACCAGCATCAAGATGGCAGTTGGACAAGCCTCACCTCTTTTGTACATGTGTCAGTGTTACATGCATGCCCCATCCATCATTGCTGATTTGGATCTCTCCCTCCCCCCCAGAAGATGCTGCTGTGAATAGCCCCATGTCTCTCTTGTTCCTCTACTCTTTGTCTGGATGGAACAGCTTAAAAGGGGGTTCTCAGAATACTGCTGAAGGAGGAGAAAGAAGAGGCAGCAGAGCAGTTTCGGACCTGGGTACAGCTGGCTATTTGCACAAGACAGTTGAGCTCTTCACAGCTGCGTTAGCCTGCATTTGTTTCCTGTAGCAAGCAATACTATTGCATATCGACATAAGCACTCTGTTGAGATAGTGGGGTTGAGAACAGGGGGAAATGAGCTAAAAAGGCTGAGATGAACAGTAACTGCAAAACATTTCTTCTAATTTTGACTTTGTAGCATCACCCATACATGTTTTTAATAGACCTTTAATAGCACTATGAAGGATACCTGAGTTTTTCTGGAAAGGGTATGGTGCAACCCCAAAAGTCATTTTGGATTAAAGAAGAGCTTCAAGGAAAGGAAAGTGGCAAAATAAGTTTATATCTTGATCGGACCTGGCAGTGCTTGGATGGAAGATCAAAGGCTAAGGCTCTGGGGTGTACTGGGAAATGAAGAAAACATCCCAGAAGCATGGCAAATCACTTGTGTATTGTTGCCAAGAAAACTACATGAATGTGAATATGTCACCAAAGTTGAGCTCAACTGAGTCTTTTCTTTTTAGCATGTGGCCAGGATTGTTGGGAGATAGGAAGCTTTTTTATTCCAATAACAAGCTCAGTGATTTGAGCCTCTCATGTTCGGCTCCATTTCTCTCCTCACTAGACCATATTGTTGCCTCTTTCCCCTGTCCTATGGACCCATTAAATTATAGTGCCAATAGGTATGATACTGTGGTTGACAGCTGCACAGACCAGGAATTCCCAACTTAATCTCACCCCAGCCATAAACCCTTAGGTATAGCAGGGTGAGTCACTGTCTTCTTCCTTCTCCCTATTCTCTGTTCATTACATGCAAACAAACAGAAGTACAGACCTACTTTTATCACACTTGAACCTTCCTTAAAAATTCTCACTGTAGGGAGAACGGGAGATTTGGAGCCGGACTGTGTTTCCTATTTGCAGCTCTTCCAGATCCTAGTCCGGATTCTAGAAGTCTGGGAGGTCAGATCTGGGAGTTCTCACTTTTTACTCAAGGGTCCTTCCTCTGCCCACGGCTTGGAGCCTTTCCCTGCCCAGTGCTGAGCTACGGGTATTCCTCCCTCTTCTGGACAGCAAAGTGGTTCAGCCCTAGTGGCCAATCCGCTGGGCTGGAGCTGTGCCAGTGCAGAGCTGTCCGTGGTGCTGAAGCAGGAGGCGCAGCAGGCAGGTAGGAAGGTGCTGGCTAGACCAATTTTGTATAGGCCGCATCATCTTTGGCAAAGGGTCCAGGAGCAGGCAAATTCGGTTAAAAAGAGGGTTGGGAGGTTGAACCCGCTTTCATGGCATTGCATTGGTGAAAAATTGGGTGGCCTGCTTTGAGGAGATAACAGCAAGAGGCTCCATATCATGGTTCCATAAGTTTAGCCAAGAGGGTATGTTTTAGTGCCCTGTAGTGTGTTCAGTATCCCTGAATATGTACACAATGCTTGTCCCTTAAGAGTGTAAACAACTACCCTCATCTTAGGGAGCTAGAAGTTGGAGAGGGCATACTTCAGAGAAGCTATCTCCAAATAATTTAAAGGTGGCAGACTAAAACTCTACAGCTGAGAGGTTTCCCTGACATAGCCTAGAAATGTTTTTTTTTTTTTTTAAGTAATTTCCTTTCTAGAACAGAGAAGTGGCAGATCTATTTCCCTTTGCAGGCAGATTACCTTTCCCAGTGCAGTTCCTGGAACCTCCAGCTGAAACAATCCTACATCGCTGGACTGTGAAAGGTGCTGGATTCTGAAGAACCATTTCAAGCTATAGTAGAACTACTGGCCAAGATCTGGTTTCATGCAAGGCAGTTTTCATTTGTTCAGTGTTATAGTGGAAAGAGCCACCTCCTGAGGAGAACACAAGCTTTCCATCCATTCAGGAGCTTCTATAATTTGCTCCTTGTTCAAATGTCTCAGTTTTAGGAAAATAGAGCTGTTTCAGCTCAGGATGAGCAGCTTCATTGATGCCAGAGTAGGATTCTAATCAACAGAAAACATATACTCTTGGCCAGATTTTCCTCCCCCAATTTTTCAGGTACTGCCAGATTAGTAAGGATTATAATCTCAAACCTGAATGTATACTTAATACAGAACAGCCCCCATACCCAGCTATGTTAGACTATATATAATCCCCAGTTAGCACTAGCATTGATCGTCCTGGCTGGGGATGATAGGAGATGAATCAACTCATTTAAAGGTGCCAGGTTAGGGAAGAGAGTTTTAAAATCTCTGAATCCTCTCATTCATTAATTTACATGACTCACAAATTGAAACTGAGATGTGATGTTCTGGGTTTACTATTAGAGTTTCCTAGCATTAGTGGCCTGGCTGTTGATTGAAGTCAAGCCCATGAGACACCTGGCAATAAATACAGTAATACTTTACCCTACATTAAAACCAGATAAAAACTAATAATGTATAGAGACAGAGCTTAGATTGTCAATTCATATTTACATCACTTTTTTGATTTTTCAGAATTGGGATTACAGTATATCCTAATTCTGAAAAATAACAAATAAGTATTGTGTGTGTATGTGTGTGTGTGTATGTGTGTAATAAAATGAAAATGTTTAGAAATCCACATATCCACATATGGCATATAGTATTATTCCATTTATGTATCTATTTCTGTATGACTGTATATGCCATTAAAGGCCTTGGATGATAACATATTTATTTATTTTTGATATACATTTTTATATACTACCTACCTCCTGAGACTAAAGGCAGTTTACAAAAGTAATTAAAGTAAAATAGTCTCAGAACTAACTAAACTAGGCAGCCTTATAACTTAAATACCCAAATGTCCTTTAGAAAAATGAGGTCTTCAGTGGCTTCTTAAAAGCCAAGAAGTTGTAGGCATTCTGTACCTTAGAAGACAAGGTGTTCCAGGGTGTGGAGGCAGCCACCAAGGAGATGTGCTGATGGACTCTGATCCCCTCACTTCATATGGGGTGGGAAGCCTCAGTATACCCTCTCCCAGAGTGCATGGGGTAGAGTGGGTCTAGAAAGGAAAGATGGTCTTATAGGTGCCTGGGCGTTAAGCCATGTAGGGCAGTGAAGGTATTACAAACATTTTGAATTGGACTTGGAAGCAAGCATAACCAATGTAGTGACTGTAGTATAAATGTCATATTACTATATCTGCCATCTCTGGTTAGCAGACAGGCTAACACATTTTGGATTAGATTAAACTTCCAACCCACATGTAGACTGCACTAGAGTAGCCTATCTGCAAGATAAGAAGGGATGAATCACTGTTGCCAGGTTCTCCTAGTTGAAAAAGGTCTGCAATTGGCATACCTGGTAGTCTAGCAGGAGCTGGAGGTCAGAGGACCTTCAAATTGCAGATCTGCAACACTGGGGGAGTGCAACACTTTTGGGAGTTAAAGCTGGAACTGGAATTAAACCAAATCAATGACAATCAGTAGCTCCACCTTGCAGGGTTTGAGCTTAGATCCATTCAGGTCCTTACAGCCTCCAAGAGGAGAAGAGTGCATCTTGTGGAAACTCACATTGGAACAGCCACAGCTACAATTGTTTTTCTCCCCTGCACGCTGACTGGAACAACCACTTAGAACAGAGTAGAACCACTGCAAAACTGCCAAGCAGTACAGAAGAATACAACAGTCAGTAGTATCACATGCCTCCATGGAGTCTAGTGGGACCAAGTGGGACACCCTCCCTCCATCTAGATTCCAACAAAGGTCACTTACCAGGACAACCAATGCATTTCCATCCCATGTTCTGGCCTGTATCCTGATTGCAAAGGGTGAAATCTAACGTTGGTACAGGATTACAAGTTGCTCAAGGTGTTTGAGGAGCATTTCCTAGCTGTAATTTTTTCAAGAACCCTGTATTTTTATCCCCCATAGGGCCAATGAAGTCAAGAAAGGAAGATTATTTAAGCAGATGTGGAAATTTGAGCCTGGGCCTCCTGATTACTAACTCAGTCTCTTGTACATAAAAATATTAGGAGTTCTTTATTATATGTCATTTACAAGCTGGGCTCACCCAGCCCAGCATACCATAAGCAGTGCTGTGTTCTGATTATATGCCATGTCTAAACAAATCATATGATGCTTTAATGAGATAGCCTGGCCTGCATAACATGCACAGGTAATAGTCTGGTTCTCACTGCACACTGAACAACAAAACCACCAAACCTCATTTTAGCCTGGTCTAGCTTATTGTGTGAATTCAGCCATAGAGAAGTCCACATTCCTGCCTAACCTCAGAGGTGACATTCTATACCCAGAGCAGTTCAGCAGCATCAAACAGATTTGCAGGAGAGGAAAGTTGGCTTTAAGGCAATTTAGTCAACTTGCCAACCCCTATCAGCCAAGGGTAACTTTAGACCACAAAATGAACAGGACCATTTGCTGTTCAGTTTGGCTGAAATTTGTCTCTTTTGCAGTCAGAGACAGGAGTGTTTCCTTTGGCAAGAGTGCAAGATAGAGAAGAAACATCGTTTTCTGCGCTTGAGGTCAAACAGCAAGTAGAGCATTTGGTGAGTTTTTTTTAAAAGAACCTTTAACTCTTATCACAGAATAAGACAACATCTAGCACAGCCAATCTTAAAAAAGCTAAGGAGGGCGACTGAGTTAGTCCTTGGATAGCCCTAGTGTGCCACTAGGAAAAAAGTGACCATGCTTTGTGTTGCCAGTGAGGCTGACAAACATTTTGGAGAGGTATTTTCTTCAGTGGTCTCCATGAAAGATGGAGAGGTGGCATTCTCTAATAATGCTGTCCTGGTATTATGGACTTTCTTACAACACATTTTAAAGGTCAGGGAAGTCTGCTCTGAAGTAGTCTACTAGTAATTGATAACTTAAAGAAAATAATCCAACTGGGAGCCACAGAAATCTCAGCACTGGAGCTTCCAATTTCCATGCATTCATTTCTACCAACATGAGCTGACAGATCTTGTATAACCAAGGTGTCTGCTAAGCACTTTTTAAGCTTTCAAGATCGTAGGCTAGATCATGTATCAGTGAGCAACCCATGGAGTCTGTGAGGGAGGCAAAGGGGTCAGAATGACATCACAGTATTGTCATGCAAGCCCTGTCCCCTTTCTAGATGCATCGTGACATTGCACACATGCCCCAAAGGATTGAGATCCTTACATGCCACTATAAGCACCTCTGACACATCTGTGTAGTGGTAAAATATACTTTTGCAGCATAGTTCTGGAAAAGGGGCCAGAGGGTGCCAGGTTGCTAAATCTAGGCTAGTTGGGGTTTCAGCATCTCTGGAATATATGCTGTTTCACTTGAAATAGGTAAGGGCTGTTTGGTGATCTGCCTTTCAGTTTGATTTTCTCCTTTTCCCTTCTGGTAGGAGTCTGAGCTCACAAAGAAGAGGAAGCAATGTGAACATCTGGAGCATGAAGTAAAGAAGAAGCACAAGAGATGTGCAGAGCTCGTAAGTGGCTCCCCACTCCCACCCCCCGCTGTTGGCATTGAGTTGCTTGTTCCCTGCACACTTCAACAGGCAGAAGAGGGATGCCTAGAAACTCCCTAGGAAAGGAAGGTTCGGTAGCAATAATTAACTAATAACAGCAAATCAGTGATGCAGTAATACAGCAATAGCAAGGGATTACAAAGAGTGACAATAGTTGATACAAAGGCTAGCAATATTTCCCCATTGAAGTCCTGCTCCTTTTTTACACGTGCTGTGATATTTTTTGTAAAAATAATGGCAGTTGGGGCTTTGATCGCACAGTCACAGCCATCTTCTTGACTTTTTAAAAAACATAGTTACATACCATGGATGCGCCATTAAGAAATCAAGCATTGGTAATGTTTGGTTTTTCTGTTCAGAAAGAATGATTTTCTTTGTCTACACAGATGTTAAACGTGCCATTGGATCCTTCAAAGAGAAAACATTCAGTTACTAACTTACAGTCTCTGAAGATTTTTAAGATCCTAAACCCACATTACGGTGAAATGTTTAGATCAGAATGAACTATTTTCAGTGCGGTTAGAATTGACACGGATGTGAGGTTTCTCAGAAATGCTGAGTTAGGAATGAGATGAAAATGCCTAAATGCAAGAGTGCAGGAAGTGCAGCCTGGGGATCACATAGTGCTTACCAGCACCCTTACATGGTCACCAGAGTACTCTGGTGGAGTGTGGGTGGAGCTAAGTCTTTTCCCCTTTTTGTATTTCTGGAATTTCAGAGAGATTTTATGGAGCACAGTTGATATTTTAAGCTTTGCTTCTGCTTAAAGTACTCATTTCACCGTTTTATAATTGCTAAACTTAATTTTAAAAGTCTTTATATTTTGTGATGCATAGATACTTTCAGATGCTTCACCTCTAGCTTCACCTCCAAAAGGTCCCTGTTAAAAAATGTCATATTGGAAATAAATGACTTCACGGTACATATCATGACATTAAACTGATTCATATGGCAGGCTATGCCATATTGTGGTAAGGGTTACCTAAGTGACATCCATGGGTGTGTATGTAGTAAAGCCTGCAAGATGATGATTGTGACTACACCACTTTTGTGCACATGATGATCCATGCTGCACTACCTTTGTACATATATTGCAGAAGGAGTAGGGCTTCAATCATGCCATTGCACCTTCCATCTTGCAGACGTGGCCCCATGATGCCCATGGCTTAGCTTGTTGTGTAAACCCAGAATATTGGTTAGGATGTAGGCGAGGAGTCCCTTAATCACAATTTATAAGCATTCATTCGAAATCTGGATGAATGGCTGGCGGAAGGTTGAAAAGTCATCCCTTCTTCAGAGAAATGAGACAGGATGCAGGACTAGCCACAGAGCAGAACCATGCTCACTGCTGCAGGCTTTTTTCCATCTTCATCTATGTATACAGTATGTTTGTGTGCGTGATTGTGTATAAAGTTTTTTCAAGACAAAGGACTGTGGAAAAGCATTGGCAGTGGCTGTGACCTGGTTGGGACGCCATGTGCCTACTTTTGATTTAGTAGGAGAAAAAGCACACACGGATTAGAAGTGACTAATGTTGGGAAATGAACTGCAGAGAAAAGTTGTCCACAAAGTTTAGCCATTGTGCATTATTGTCAGCAGGACTTATCAGGAAAGGAATCCCTGAGTTCTCATCCCTGGTTTGGGAGCTGCCCAAACTATAAGGTTGCAATAAATGTGTTGTTGGCTGTTGTTGTTATTACTGAGGGATATTTATGGAGTCCACATCCTTCATCTTTCCAAGATTAACGAACAGCCTTTGCTGTGCAGCAACGTGAAGTGTTTTTAGCAGGAGGAAGAGCTATTGATAACTTCAACTATCTTTTCCATATTGTTGGCAAAATGCTTATTTTCATATATGGTCTGCACAAATGTTATTCTGAAACTGCACTTTCTTTGCCTTGGAACTGCATATTTACGCCAAGTTGCACTTTTCTAAAAAGTCCTTTCTGAACCCCTGAATTCATCTGTCATAGCGGGGAGGAATTCCTTTATTCCCAGAAAATATATGCTGCTTTTTCCCACATAGGAGATCGAACTGCAAGAAGTGCGGAGTGATAATGCCCGACTGTCTGAGGAAAACGCTGCATTACAGGGGCAAGTCGAGTGGACAGAGAAGGTAATCATGAGACCTTCTCTTGTTTCCCTCCATCTAAAGGAGTGTAAGTTGGTGACTGTAGATCATGGATTTAGTATCCTTAAGGAGGTCTTCCTGTGGACCACTATATTCTATTACTTGGGCAATAAATATTATTTCATTGTAAAAAAAATTGTGTGTGTGTTTGCGTAAAATAATAACACATACATCTTTAACTGGCTGTAACATAAAAAGCAGGGCAAAAGAAGATATTGGGGCAGGTAGCCTTAAAGCTGATGGGCTGCTTTTTCCATAAAATGGGTGTTTATTTGCTTCCCCTAGGAAGTGGGAATAAAAGCATTTCTGCAAAAGGACTAGTGATGTCCAATTTTCATAGAGTTAATAAGCCCAAGCCAGGATAATTTCTTGATACAAATCTCATCTCAGTGACAAATTCACTAAATTTTAGGTTAGCTTCTCTTCACTCAGCCCAAGAATACCCACTTGCAATGTTGGTTTGATGTCACTAGTCTAGTTTTCCAGGTTAGGATTAAGGATCATTGAGTTGATTGATTATTGATTATATATTGCTTACTCAATGGCAGAAGAATATCTGAATCACCCTGGTTGTAAGGATAAACAGAGGGATTGGATAACCTTGGTGAACTTGTAACATGACTGCTGTTCAGTGTATAGTATAGTGAATTGTATGGTTCTAACTGATTTCCGGGTGGTAAAACTGCACAGTGGAATGTCCCATATTTGCAGTCCTTGATAAGCAACCCTCTGAGACAAGCTTTTATAGAGCTGCATTTTCAGACCTTGCTGAAAGATTGCTGAGGGGAGATACGAGGGGATCGTAGTAAGCTGATTTGGTTATTTATTTATTTATTGTTTGTTTATTTAATTTATATAGCCGCTCATCTCACTTGCATGTGCCTCTGGGTGCCGTACACAATTAAAGTGAAAGCTAAACAATCAACATAATTCAACCATTAAAACCAATTAAAACCAGTTAAAAAACTATAATAACAAAAAGGGAAGAAGGCAGTCTAAATTTATACCAGCCATTTAACGGGCTCCATGCTTCCATGGGATCCCAGGCTGGATGGCAAAACCAAGTTTTGAGGGCCTTCCAGAAGGCCAACAAGACTGGGGCCAATCTTACCTCGGGGGGAGTTGCCCAAACCATAAGGTTGCAATAAAGTTGTTGGTTGTTATTATTGAGAGATATTTATGAAGTCTGCATATTTCCATTAGAAATCTGATTTCTTCTATTCATTCTTTCTACATTCAGTACAAATACCTAGCTGGACTTTGCATAGATTTCCATTCCTTTTGTTCACCTGCATCATCTTTTCAATTTGGCTGCCAGGGAAGTAAAATATTTACATATATTTCTGCAAAAAGACCCAACCATCATATACTGTACGTGTTTGGTTATGCCTACAATTGCATCAAATTCATTTTGCATGGAACAGATTAATCGAATCTAAAGCAGTCTTCCCAGAAGGATGTAATGCTCTGTTGTGTTGTGTTGTGTTGTGTTGTGTCAGAGAGAGCCCCCCCCCCCCTTTTTTTGCATGGAGTCCTTCCAGAGGGCTGGGCAACTATCTCTCCCATTGCAGGTTGAATCTGAAAATGCTGACTTAAGGCTGCAGGTGACTGTAGTGACTGAGGAACGGGATTCTGCTCTTCAGAAAACCCAGGAACTCCAGGACAGGCTGGAGAGTCTCGGGGAGGCACTTAAGGTTTGTGGGAAAAGGCTGTCCCGGAGCAGCTGTCTTCTACAGATGTAATCCTTAGTCTTAGAAAATTGGCAAGCAGAAATGGCAAATTTGGAACAAGGCTGAAGTAGACTCCTGATTTTCAGATTAAAAGCTGATTTTGGGGATGTGGAGAAGTGCAAATATCAATTTCTTATTTGTGGTATTCAGACTCCTATGATGAATCAAGAGCTTGGAATCAGGAACTAACATCAACCTGACAGAATTTATCAAAGAATTAAGGAAAATCTTACGAATGCTTGACAGACTGTCATTTTATGTGCAGGCTGAGCAAAGCCCTCAGGTGGTGGTCAGCTGTATTTTCTATTGAATGCTAGTGAAATTCAGTAATTAAGATAGTGAGCTACAAGCCAGAAATAATTCTCCAATTAAGGCAAAGATGCTCTTAATTCAATCTTAGCTCCTGGGAACTACACATATGCAATCATGTTGTTTCTTGGCAACAGGTCTAAGGACTATCTGCAGCTCCAAAAACTTTGGGGTCACTCCCAGTGTGACAGAAGAAGAAAATTATACTATCATTTACATTTAAATATGCATTTAATCTAATTAAATAAAGATTTTGAACCTGGCCACTTTTTGAAATAGGGACCCTTGTTTGTCACTCAAAGTTCAAATGCAGCCCTCAGCCTGAAAAAGGTTACTTCCAGATACTGTAGATCATCTGACCAGCAAAAGAGGAATTAAGAAAGTTGTGGTTCTTGAATCTGATCCAATTCTGGATCTGATCCTCTTGGTAGGCCAACTGATTCTTTGTGATCTACTTTCTGATCTAATTAAACTGACCTGGCAGTTTCTGCACTATTCAAAAACCTGCATATGTACTTGGTTATATTGCACGCACAATATAATGGGTTAAGCAAATGACAGAAATCTGGCCGGATATAAAAGAGGCGCTGGAGCACGTTAGGGAAAGTTACAAAAAGTTTGCCAACTGGAAGCAAGCGCCGGAGAAGCAATGGAAGGTGGGGGACAAGTGTCAGCAAAAGTCCATTAAGGGTTACCAGAAATAACAACATATCTATTTTAACCTTGATCAAATAAACCAACTTTACATTCCTTTCTTTTACTTCTAACAATCTTAATCTTTAATCCATTCAAGTAATGTCATAGAACTTGATTTCTTTTCATTTCTTTTTTATCTATTTTAACCTTGATCAAATAAACCAACTTTACATTCCTTTCTTTTACTTCTAACAATCTTAATCTTTAATCCATTCAAGTAATGTCATAGAACTTGATTTCTTTTCATTTCTTTTTTACCCCTTCTCCCAAGATTTATCCAAGCTTTAACAAACCTCTTTTGTAAATCCAGTATAAAAGAATTATCCAGGTCACTCTCTTGGTTGATTATTTGTAATTCCCTTCTGATTTTTAAAGCATCAACCGATTTCTTTTGTATGTCCAACGAAACATCTTTTTCCATGTCATTCATGTAGCCTTTCATTTGTAGATCCACTTTTGGGGTCAACTCTGTCTCTGCCTTGTCAGATAAAAACTTGTCAGATAAAACTTGTTCCTCTTCTGCCATTTCTTCCAAAACATCTTTGAGACACAGTCTATCCATAGAAGCATAGACGCAAACATCACTATTGACACTGTTGATATTATTGATCAGAAGTTAATATCAACAAGGTTCTATGAATATCCTAATTTGCATAGTTCAGAATGAAGAAAAGAGCTTGGGAGAGGATCACTCAGCTTTTTTATTTTTAAAATTTATTTATTAGAATATATTAGCCACCCAACTGGACTCTTTCTGGTCTTCTTATTTTCTAGCACATGAGAGATGTTGCAGAACGAAGGCAACAACTGGAGCATCAGCACGAGAAGGCCTTGCAGGCCTTGCAAAAGAAACAAGATGAAGTCAGACAGCTCCAGCAGGTGATTTCTGTCAACGGGAGGCTTCTTTCTTCCAGGTTTATTCACACAAGCCTGATTCTTCCATCAACCGAAGGCTCACATGTGAATATGTAAACAGACCTCATTGGCAAGAACTGCCTTGCTTAGGAGGTTAAGGAAAAATTCTAATTGTGGGGTTTGTACTGTGATGGTTCATTCAGCCCATAGCAATGCCCGGTGCTGCATTGACGTGAACAGATGTGAACGGCAGAAGGATGGGGAAACACCACCCTACCATTGTGCAAAGTGAAATTGCTTACGCTCGCACTGACAAATAATTGGATTCTACCCTATTGTTACTTGCGTATTTTATTTATCCATTCATTCAATTTGTCCCCACCTCAATTAACAGGATGGTTGACAGTTTGCAAACAACATACAATACTATAATAAAATATCCACAATTTTAAAAAAAAAGTAAAATCCTAATAAATGCACCAGTGAATACAAAACCATCCACCATCCACTGGCATCATCTCAATCACTGTAAGCCTTCTGAAACATCTGTCTTTAATAGAATCCAGAAGGCCCATAATGTGGAGGCCAACTCAGTATCAACTGGGAGGCTGTTCCATGGTTGGGGTGCAACAGTGGCAAGTACCCTCACTTACTCTCACCTCATAGCAGTGTCTCCCTGGACTAAATTCCAGATATACAGAATACTAAAATATTGTTGATCAGGCAAGGCAATTAAAAAAAAAAGAAATAGACCAAATTCACTCATTATAATATAGCTTGATTATGATTTACAATGTTGTTCACCCATCATAAACCATGATTTATGGCTTAACATGATGCATGAACCTAATCCATAATGGCTTATTCAACACACTATATGCTAACACATAATGGCTAAGCAGAATTTGTAAATTCAGTCAAGTCTGCAAGTAAATCACCCACTTCTATATCGGCAAAGAAACATATTCCTTAATTCTCTGTTTACTTTTCACATTCAAAGGGAAATAATTTAATGGTTTCACAAATATGTAAGCCACTATAGTCATGTTTCAAACAATCCAGGATTTTAGTAGAGAAAACTGGGGAAATATGATAAATGATACTGTTGATGTCATCCTACCCTACCCAAGCATTTACAAGTTGGGTGTAGCATCAAAATCCAGGCGTCACCCCTTTTATATGTGTGTTTGATGTTGATGATACATCATCTTGTAGATTTTTAACCCCCCTGAGGATGCCTCTGTCCCCAAACACTATAGATTCACTATGGAACATTTGTACCTTCAGGGATGGATATTTTTTGCTCAAACAAGATTATTTTTATTCAGGAGAAAATGGAGATAGAGCATAAAATGTTTGCTTGTTTATTTATTTTTCTTATATTTTTCTTATATTATTGTTTATTTATATATTTGATTTATTTATTGCCTCAAGTGGTTGTTATAGACTCCAAGTGGTTTAAAAATAGTAACATATTCCCAACAATAAATATACATTATTAAAACTTCAATAAGAATTATACAGTAATTGAAAAGAACAAATAATAACAAATATATAAAATATGCAGATCAAAATCAAAAGCATCGCTAAAATCCACTAAAAACTAGCAGAGACTTAAAACAACAGATAGCAATCACCAAAAGATCTAAAATGTTTCATTCAAACATCTGGTTTAATGTGATTTGCTCAAGCAGTTATTTATTCGTGTATTTATTAATCAGATTTGCCAAAGGATATTTACTAAAATATACTCAAGAATTATTAGGTCTTTGGGATGTTCCATGAAACAACTGAAAATATCTGTGCTCATTGCACTGTAAAGGACTCCCTTGAAAGCAGCCCAGATTTACAGTACTTTTCACAGGAGCATCAGCAGCCTAATTTAGGCTTCAGGTCCTCTTCTTATTTTTGCAGTTGTTCCTGATTGATTGCAGATCATTTCAGGATCTACCAGGGGATCTTGATGTCTCTTCTGCTAACACTCAGTATAGGACACAGGACGCCCTATGACTGTGAATGGATGAACATCTATATAAATATAATAAATAAAAATAAATAAATCTGGCAGAAGTGGGATACCCAGTCCCCCTAACCTTTCTTTTCTCTTGGATTTAGGCTCAGGCTGAAGCTAGGAAGGAACATGAAGGAGCAGTGCAGCTTTTAGAGGTAAGGAGAGGAGAAGACAAAAGCAAGGAAGGGAAAAACCAAGGGGAAAAAAAACATTTAAGATAATGTATAATTCCGTTTATTTAAAACAAACCAGAAATTTTCACATCAAACTGAAACACTGCCAGCTATATATGGAGCGTGTGCTTGTCCTTAGAAAAGAAGACCTGATAAAGTCTGGTAAATTTGTCACAGTGGAAAATACTAAGAGATTTCCCAATGCAGTTCAGAATACTGGTCAGAAACCAGTGTCTCATCCTGTAATGGGATGGGAGAATAACCTTGGGAGACAGGAGGAAGAGGGGACTGACATAGCTCTTATTTGACTGTTGCCCTGGCTGTGGCTCTTCCTTATGTCTCCCAAGGTTATGCTCACAGCCCATTATACTTCCATGCCTGGGTTTCCAAATGATTTCTCCACTCCTGCAATCAATCACAGGATTTGTACTTAAGGAAAATGTTGATGTGCAGTTAACAACCTTTTTTCTGCTGTTTTCCTCTCTCTTGTTTCCTGTCAGAATACCTTGGATTCTATGCAGGTACTAATGGTTTCAGATGTGCAGAAAATGTCCTGTTTCTCCCACTTTCCTTCAACAAATCTTGATTGTTGCAGAGGAGTTTGGAACAGAGAAATACCATGTTTTATATATATTTTGGAGAGTAGTCAGTGGAAGAATTGGAGAAAAATTGAAATTCATTTTAGAAACAATAATGTCTGTTTCTCGTTTCCAAACTTGCACAAAATTGTAGCATCTGTATTAGCCCTACAGAACAAGAGCAAGGTTTCGATTGCACAAGGCTGTTCTTTCTGTTGAATTTCAGGGGAAGGGAAGAAATGTCAAACCACACAATGTACAAGCTGTAATGGGAGTACAGGAAAATAGAACCCTTTTACAAATTTGGAAATTTGACACACATAGTGTGTCCACATAGCATGTCCTTCACTATACAAAGTTCTCCCAGCCGAGAAGCAAGCTTGCAGATTTGCTTGTAAACTCAGTATTGATATATTACTGAACTAATACATGTATCTCTATAAGGAGAAGGGCAACCAAGATTATAAAGGCTCTAGAAGGAAAACTTTATGAGGAATACTTGGAGGCGTTGAGTATATGTTGCCTGGAAAAGACTACAGAGAGACATGAGAATTCTTCAAGTATCTGAAAGGCTGTTCTGTAGAAGACAGGGCAGAATTCTTCCACAACACAGAACAATTTAAATTTTCTCTCTTTGGAGGCCCTCCACAAATCTTCCCTTGTTTAGCAAAGGACTTTTTGAACCATCCCAACCTCTTGTTTATTTGTGATAGTAGCCAGATGTCAAAATCCTTCTGCTGCTATCTCTCAAGATTCAAAGCCTTGATCTGCTATGATTCCTTGTCCTGGTGAGCAATCAATTTTGCCTGAGCCTTTTTGAGAAAGTATTTTTATTCCCCCATTCCCATTCCAATCTGTATTGCCTAAGACTTAAAATCCTCCACTATTGAATCCCCTAGTTTTTTTCACATTCATCCACACCAGGGGGCAGTTTTCAGCCAACCTTGATGTTTCTAATATAGTTTAGCAGGATTGAATTTAAATATAAGATCAATGGGAAATCCCAGAACTGTAGACTAGATGGGAAATTGAAAAAAAAATCATAGAAAATGGCAGTGGCAAACTGATTCTATGTTGTGGCCAGAGAAATTTTTATTTTTTGTTTTTCATATTTTGTAAGCTGTCCAGAGTAATGGATTTGGGATGGACAGCCATATAAATTGAATAAACAAACAAATAGCATTCAAGCAGTTATTTATTCGTGTATTTATTAATCAGATTTGC